TTAGTTCCATTAATAATGATAAACACAAAAAAAACAGGGAATTTTAACAGCAACTGAACTTGGAATTCAAAGACGAGAGAGGCAATATGGAGAATCACAAACAATATTAAAATTAGGGCATAAATAGAGCTGAGCTTTAGGTGTAGACTATAGATGACGATTCATAAATCTCTAAATTTATATCATAAATTTTAATTCAAAAGTAAAAAATAATTAAATACATAAAATAAATGTTTAATGCTTTCTATGTAAATTTACTGCATAATACAATTATGTGCTGTACCCATACAATGTACTGGGTCTAGGTCACGTTATTAAAGTGGAGTAAAAACATGTGTAAACATTGCAATTCTTAAGAGAAAAAATGAGGTAAGTTCCTATATTGTCTTGATCGCCCAGGAGAATCTGAGATTATAAAGAGGTTAAAAGAAAACTAAGCACTAAATAAGCGGAGCACAGAGACTAGAAACTCAACATATTCATGCAAGCCTAAATATGTTCTCTGTAGAGAAAAATGCTTAGATGTTCGGGGGTACATCTCTAAGGGCATCACAAGGTTCTAGCATATGTGGGACTTCTGGATGAGAAACACTGCTTTAGGTAAACAATATCAATCAAGATGCTGTTTTGATCATAAACTATAAGTGTTAGCTTTTTCCATATTTGACCACTAGAATTTTCGTTTTATAGTATCAGCTGCTCAGGTTGGACAAACAGACTGGTCAAAACCATACAGCTACTCCACCTTCTAGTTGTATGGCCATGAGTAAATTACTTAGTTTATACAAACATCAGCTTTCTAACTTAAAAAAAAAAAAGAAAGATATAATACTATAAATAAGTAATGGTATCTACTTCAAAAGTTTATTATTACAAGTAAATGAATAAATCCATGGAAAGTGTTTTAAACTATGTCTGGGACACAGTAGGCATGTAATATATGTCTGCTAGGATTTTTCGTAATGGACCATATTCATACATTTATATTGGATGCAGCTGAGAAGCAGATCGAGGCATTAGCACCAGTCATAATGGTCTTTCAATTCTGCAACATTTTCCAAGCCCTTTCCCGCTTTAGGGTGCTTGCATATGCTGTTCTCTTTGCCTAGAATATTCCCTTGCCCTTTCTTCACCTTGTTAATTTCTCCTCAGACTCTAGGTCTCAGCTGCCTATTCTTCTACTGTGAGTTCTAACCTGACTTGCCCTTCCACTCTTGACCTCTAGTATAACTCAAAATTACCCTGTATATTAAGGCACCATACCATTTACTTTTCTCTTATATCTTAATTGTAACTTGTATGTCTTTGTGTGTGTGTGTAAAACTCTCCATATGAATTCCTGCTATTTTCTAAGTTCAATAAGGGAAGAGATCATGTCTATTTTGTTAGCTTTAAATACAGTGCTTGGTATATCATTATTATTCAATACATATTCATCAAATAAAAGAATGAATAAAATTAAATAAACGAATGAATAAAATTCATGAGAAATAGAGCTGATTATAATTAGCTTGTGGATAGTACTGAATTCCAGAATACCTCATCATTTTTTAAAGACCCATAATAAAAATGTTGAACAAGAAGCACAAGTTAACATCTCCTTGTATCTCCTTCCCATAATAGGGATATGGAAGAAATGTTATTATTCATAATGTGGCCAGAATTTCCTCTAAGATATTCCAAGAGAAAAGGACAAAATAATCATAACATCAATCAAAAGATAATTTCTCCAAAACTATAAATAAAATACCAGTAAATTATGTCAAGCATAAGCTTACATAAATAAGGTACATAATCTTTTCAAATCTATTCTTTACTTAACTATGAATACATTGAAGTCAGAGTATTTAGAAAAAAGAATTTTTTTTAAACTAAAAGGTATAAAAATAAAGTGCTTTATTTTCTCCTTTTAGGAAATATTAGGATCTTTTAGAAACAAGTAGTGTGGCATACTCTAAAATGTAAATAACTTGTTTATTGACATGTGAGCTTAGTGCATCTTCCATAGTTGATCTTACATCTTATTTATATGGAGTAATAATCTGACCTGTAGTTCTTACTCATGGTTATAGATTTGTGTTACCGTGAAACTTTAAAAAAAATGAAAGTGTCCAAGATTCAAAGTCTGGAAATACTATTTCAAATGGTATGGGGTATGTGATAAGCTTTAGAACTAACTCTGATATGAAGACAAAATTAGATATCACTTCTTCATAGAGAGATATAAACTTGGTTATGATTGAGAAACAATATCTGAATACTTCTCAAAAAATAACACTGCATACTGAAGCAAGATTGAGAAATTATATGGGTACTCTTAATCACCTGCTTTATTTGTACTAGATAATTTTAATAACCTGCACACTTGAAAAATAATTAAATATAGTCATTTGAAAGTTCTGTACTTCCTCTAATTTCCCATTTAATTAAATATCATTTATTTAATTCAATTTGACAAATATTTATTGAGTGCTTGGTATACCCAAGGCACTTTTCTCCGACATTGAGAAATCAGAAAGTATAAAATTTGATTATAGACCTTGTACAGCTTATGTCAAGTGGAGACACAAACATACATAGTTTTCTTAATTAAAAAATGGTAATGCCATGATGGAGTATTCTGGTACATAAAGTATAAAAACTTCCTCCTTCTCCGCAAGACACAGACAACTTAATGGAGCTGTCAATGATTTTCATGGAGTGGGTAGCATTTGACATGGACCCAAGAAGATGAATAGGATTTTTACTGATGAATAAGATTTTTACCGCAGAACAAAAGAAGAATTGAACAGGCTGGGTGCGGTGGCTCACGCCTGTGATCTGAACACTTTGGGAGGCCAAGGCGGGCAGATCATGAGGTCAAGAGATCAAGACCATCCTGGCAAACATGGTGAAACCCCATCTCTACTAAAAATGCAAAAACTAGCTGGGCATGGTGGTGGGTGCTTGTAGTCCCAGCTACTCGGGAGGCTGAGGCAGGAGAATTGCTTGAACCCGGGAAGCAGAGGTTGCAGTGAGTCAAGATCGCGCGACTGCACTCCAGCCTTGCAACAGAGCGAGACTCCGTCAAAGAAGGAGAAGGAGGAGAAGGAGGAGAAGAAGAAGAAGAAGAATAGAGCGATTTGGGGCCATCAAATAAGTGATGTTTTGGGGAGTTTGGCTATATCAGGGAGATGATAGAAAGGAGTGTAGGGACCAGATTACTGAAGTCTACAGATGTTTTCTACCCAGAATTATTGATCCTATGATCATTGCAGAGGTACATATGGTGTAGAAAGAGAAGACATAATCTAATTCTATTCCTCCAAGGAATGTTTAGTGATATTGGGAAAATAATGCACACATGAAATAAGAACAGCATAATATTAATATTAAATCATATATTACTGATGAATATTATATCTCATAAATTTAGATAAGCATATTGCAGAGAAAGGGAAGAGCATTCACACAACTACATAGCAGACTAACTGGTTTTCCCAGTTCAATTAAAACACAGGGTTCCTGAAAGAAAATAGTGGGAAGTGAAGATAAAAAGGTGAGAGAGAGCAAGACCATAGAAGACCCAATACATAAAAATTTAAATTTATTGGCTTTTTAATGGCCAATAAGGATTCTCTAACAGTTTGTATAACAAGGAAGTAGAGAAACGACAGGATTAGATTGTCATTGCTGTTTGTTATTGTTGATGTTGTCCTGGTTCAAGCAGTCATCATCTGCCTGGAACAGAATTAGATTTTTATGGTGGGATTTGGGTGCACTGCAAAGGAGGAAGGCCATAGGCAGAATAAATAGTTACATGGCTATTGTAATAGTCCCAACAGGAGGTAATGAGATCCAGAACACAGTGGCATGTAGACCAGAAAGAGGATGTGTAATTGCACTGTGAGAACATTTTGACCGAAGAAGATGGCTAGGTTGGTGAGTATGGGTGTTATCTTTGAAAAGAGAAGAAGATATAAAATTAAGTAAAAGAGTTTCTTAGACATTTGGATGTGACAGAGAGAGCAAGTATCCACTGAGGTTCTTAGCCACAGAGTGGTTAAAAACTTTATGACTTCCATCACTGTCACTTCATGATTATCAGCTTTGCTGACATTCCTGGTTGCTACTAAAGGGGTAAGAATATATATTCCTCTTAGATTGATTTCCCACCATAAATCAAATTTAAAAATTATATAAATGCTAAATGTTTATGGTAGTTTGTTCTAGATATTATTCTCATATTTTTACTGACTACCTGGGGATTAATAAGAATGGGCATTGATAAGCTTATTCTGTAGGTGAAAAATATTGATTAAATAATATAAGAGCTATTTGCTTATCCTAAATTAAAATTCCCTTTTGCAAATGACATCATGGGCATAAGTGAACATTACTGTGTGATGTAATTAAAAGATATAAATATAAGAGGGGTATAAACATCTAGCCTTACCATATTAATTTAAGTCTGTCAGTGGTGAAAATATTTCTGGCTTCAAAAAGCACTTGTCATTTGGTTACATTAGGGAAATTCATAAAGTAAAATTGATTTTCCAAGATGAGAACGATAAAATGGAAAAGAAGGTTAAAATATAATTATAATGAGAAAAAATTCTGAAAAATAAGTGCCATGCCCCATGAAATATATTTGCGGAAAATAAAAGCAGAAGTAAAGTTCACTTTTGGCTCATCACTTGACTATATTTATAGAGCTTCATGTATTTTTCAAGTCTTGACATTGACAATTCTTCAATAGTAACTAATTTTGTAAAACTGAAAATATTTCCAGTAATATATTAAGCTGTATTATTAATCAACATAAACAGCCCAAACATTAATACAATTTAGATCATTAAAGACTAACAAAACTGTGACTAAATTGACATCGACTCATCTGTTGAACAGTAATTGCTAAATAACTGTAAAATACATTACATTCTCTTCATTATTGTTCCAATTATCATGTCCTTTTCTATGCACTACATAGATCTAAAAATAACGGAAAAGCAAATACTTACCAAAATGGTGGTAACAATCAAAGAACGATTGGATAAGGAATCTGTGATGTTTGCCGGCTTTCCCTTTTGACTTTCTGTCATATTCAGGCCACTGGCTGGATCCCACGTTCCAATCTATAAAATAGCATATGTACTTTGTAAATTGTCCATCAGGCACCTGGGAGAGAGTACTGCAAGAGAAAGTTAAGATTGCTAACACTTATTATTCACCTCTGCTGCATTATCTGCTGCTGTTAAAGTAAAGGCAGCTTGTTTTAAGCATGATTCACTGCTCTGTGAAGTGTGTTCAGTGAAGTGTAACATTAAAGAACAAAATGATCCACTGAACTTCTCCAGTCAGTATGGGAGCTTAATTTTCCATTCAAGCTTTCATTCACCAAGATAAACCACATTTGATGATACCTTGATAGCTGGCTGGAAACTCATTAATAGCACACATATTTTACTGTAATGGATCTCATCCTCTCATTATAAAGATAACATGCCATATTATAGAGACAAAGCTAAAAGAGCAAAATCTAGGGATCCAAGATAAATTAATAGGTAAAGGTAGGCTTAAGGCAAGCACTGATTAGTGTTTTGCACTACCCCTGGTAGGATGAAACCATGCTCAGAATTATCTTTGGAGATTTAAAAACACATCTTTGCACCTTTTAAAATGCTCCCAAGAAAGGAGAAGACAGTAAAATCTCATCTGAATAACACATTCCAATACTTTCGTCTGTACTCCATTTAATATGAATTTTAATTTAACTAATACCTTCTGATAGATTAGGTCATATACGTACAGTGTTTAGACATTTTGTATTCACTGAACACAGCCTATGAGATAATGCAGACAAGCTTCCAGAAGACACATGTAAGCACAGGATGTCACAAAATGCATTGATTAGATGGTTTATTGACACTTATACCATTGCACTATCATATAACAATGATCACCAATAAGGAAGAGCAGAGGCAAAAGAAGATGTGAAATCAGTTCTTTTTCCTCACTGTCTCAAACCTAGGAGTAATCAATAACAAAATATGTCTTCCATACTCTCCTAGATAAGTATCCAACTTATTTTTCTCAAAGAAAAGGAAAACTATCAAATTATCTTTAAAATAATTCTTTGTATATAAATTAAGTATTTTTTAAATGGCATTGATATAGCAGGTATTATTTACTGTGTTCTAACTAAATATGCTAACAAAGGTCCCATCAGCATAACCTCTTTGCCATATTTCCTCATATGGAGTTAATTTTCCTCTCACCATTAAATTATGTATAGTCCTGATGTTTGTGTTAGGAGAGGAAAAAGTCAAGTAATTCAGTATTCTTTCCAAACTAAACCACCTACTGGCCAATTACATTTCTTTACATTAGACTATGCTTATGACAATGTCCTAAAGATGGAGTCTAATTCTATTTCAGTGTCAATAATGAAAGACTTTAGGGGCCAAGCAGGTCAGATCAATGTGAAACATGATAATGTACAGGGCCGTAGTAAGAATTTCTACGCAAGTGTGTACAATTTTTAAATCTCACAAAATGTCAAGGCACAGTAGAAAGGAGGGGCCACAACCCCAATCCTGCTTTTCCAACAGCTGTGTGCCTTGGGGCTGCATGTTCCCAAAGTAGGTGCTTTAGTTGAGTTTCTAGTAAGGCACCACCAGGACTAGTAGAGGGCCTGCTGGGGATCTGGGTAGGGAAGGATGGAAGAGTGTCAAAACTAGAATGCCTGTTGACCTGCTTTAAGTGTTTAAATATTTATTTATCTATCTATCTATCTATCTATCTATCTATCTATCTATCTATCTATTTATTTATATTTTTTATTTTTTTATTTTTTGTTTTGTTGTTGTTTAGACGGAGCCTCAATCTGTCGCCCAGGCTGGAGTGCAGTGGCGCAATCTCGGCTCACTGCAACCTCCGCCTCCCGGGTTCACACCATTCTCCTGCCTCAACCTCCTGAGTAGCTGGGACTACAAGTGCCGCCACCACGCCTGGCTAATTTTTTGTATTTTTAGTAGACAGGGTTTCACTGAGTTAGCAAGGATGGTCTCCATCTCTGGATCTGCCCGCCTCGGCCTCCCCAAGCGCTGGAATTACAGGCGTAAGCCACCCGCGACCGGCCTATTTATTTAAGATGGAGTCTTGCTCTGTCACCAGGCTGGAGTGCAGTAGCACAATCTCGGCTCACTGAAACCTGTGCCTCCCGGGTTCAAGCAATTCTCCTGCCTCAGCCTCCCGGGTAGCTGGGGCTACAGGCGCCCGCCACCACGCTTGGCTACTTTTTGTATATTTAGTATAGACGGGGTTTCACCATGTTTGCCAGGATGGTCTCGATCTCTTGACCTCGTGATCCATCCGCCTCGGCTTCCCAAAGTACTGGGATTACAGGCGTGAGCCACTGTACCTGGCCAAAGTGTTTCAAATTTAAAATCATTTGCATATACTCTTTTGGCTAAACAAGACACATCTGCAGATAGTACTTTGCAGTGAATGACTGTCACTTTTCCATATCTCGTCCATAATTAATACCTATCATGCATTTGTTCTCTTAGATTTTACTTTTTATATATATAAATTGGCAAAATAGCTAGGATTTTCAGATGTGTAACTCTACCAGCCAAACCACTGACAAACATCATTTGTCCACTGTCGTCTATCTAATAAAACCTTAGAAAGTTTTCAGCTTTCTAACCAAGTAACTGATACAAAGAATTTCCCATTTCACATAATGCCACCCTCCACTATTATTTTTATAACAATAATTTAGCTAAATGTTCACTCATCTTATCATCTGAAAATACTTCTCTAGTTTCATTATTGGTTAGTTGCTTTTCTAGTTTTTTTGGAGTTCGGACACAGATGCATATTACATGAATCTACAATTTCCTATACTCAAGAGTATTAGTTATCCTCTTTTGTAAATCTCAGCTTTCTTAGCATAACATTATGAAATTTCAAAAATATCGGTGGCTTTAAAATTTTAAGTCAAATAAAAATTTTAGATATTCCCTAGATTGTCAACTATATAACTCAAAACTTTCTTCCATTGAGGAAGTTGTCACCAGAGATTTTGTTTTGTTTTAATGGCAAAAACCATGGATAAAGTAATGGCAATCTATTTTTATCTATTTGGGAACCACTATTTTGTCATATGACTTATGACTTGATCAAGCCTTCCCACTACTTTTTTTTTTTTTTTTAGCTCTGAAATGGAATTAAGATGCTTAAGCACTGTTGACCTTATAGAATTGTTCTATATATGGTGATTCTACATCCTGGTTTGCCCAGGTACTGTCTTCCTTAATAATACCCTCTTGTACAAATAAAAAAAATCATGATTTGGGTAATAAATTATAGGGCCATTCTAATTATAAGGATTCAAGTAGATACAAGAAGTATGAAAGTGCTTCAAAAGTCATAAGGAGCTATAGAAAATTATGATTTTATTCATTTTTATTTTATGTTCCAATTGGCTCTTTAATTTCTTCTTGTGGTCAGAAAAAGAATGCATATTAATTGTCATCAAATTATAAAATATGCAAAAGATATAAGAAGATCAATTTAAACTTTGAACTTCTGAATACACCCAGAGTCAATCATGGTTAATATTGTAGTCCTCTTTTTTCCTGTCATTTATCTTTCCACATACATTCCTAGAATAGTTTCCGTCATAGCCTTGTAGTTAATGGCCCAGCTTTTATGGACGGCGTATTTGACTGCCAGGATCCTATGTCCACCACTTACCATCAGGTGACTTGGGCACATTATTTCTTTGTGCCTCAATTCTCCCATCTGTAAATGGAAAATAATAGTATCTACTTCTAAACTACAGTGAAGATTAAATGAAAAAATATTCAACATAGTGTGTTTATAAGTATGCTATAATTATGACAATTACTAATTATATTCTGTTTATACACTATTGTGAGCATTTTCTCCTACCAAAGATAATCAAATCCATAGTTTTAATGACTACACAAAATGGTCATATGAACATATCGTGATTTAACTATCGTTGTTACAAGGCCTTAGTAAACACATTTATTTATAAATATTTGTTCACACATTTTATTATTTTAAAAACAGATTTCTAGAATTAGAATGACTGAGCGCAAATAATCTGCGTTGTTAATATTGTTATTATATGTTGCCAAATACCTTTCCAAAATAATTTCTCTACTTGTTTTCTTTCCCTTTACAGTTCATGGTAGTTTCCATAAGACAACTGTATAACAATTTAGCTTTTATTTTTAATAGTTTGAATAACATCAGGTTATATTATAGAGGTTTATAATTGTCACGTCTTTTAACTGTAGATGGTGTTTTTATTGCTAAAAAATAACTGTTTTATTTCAATTACTTTGTTTTGCCTCAACTCCCAATATATATTAATCACACTTACTTTACCTCCATTATTTGTGTCTTTGCATTTGCTGATAAATCATTATATATATTTTCACTTTCAACATATTTCTTATTTTGTTGGATTTTTTTATAAGCAGTGCCTTGGTGGATTTTTCAATGTCCTAACTTTTTCTCTTCCTGAATCTTATCTTTATTTAGCCTTGCTCTCTTCACATTGGTTTGGTGTTTACTACTTATTTTCTACTCCTGGAAATTTTCCTGTGGTAATTGGGAGATAAAATACATTTAAGTCTACTAATACGTATTATCAACTTCTGTTTGAAATATTACTATCATGTTGAAAAATGAATATTCAGCCATAAAAATTGAAATATCTACTCTACGAAAATTATCTATGCTTTGCCCCATTCTGCTACCACACATACTGATTCAGTTTTAGGTAACTTTTTTTTTTTTTTTTTTTTTTTGAGATGGAGTCTTGCTTTGTCCTTTAAGCAAGAGTGCAGTGGCACGATGTTGGCTCACTGCAAACTCCACTTCCTAGGTTCAAGCAATTCTCCCTGCCTCAGCCTCCCAAGTAGCTGGGATCACATGCATCCACTACCATGCCCGGCTAATTTTTGTATTTTTAGAAGAGACGGGGTTTCACCAGATTGTCCAGACTTGAACTACTGACCTCAGGTGATCTGCCTGCCTCGGTCTCCCAAAGTGGTGAGATTACAGGCATGAGCCACCGTACCCGGCTGGTTTT